GGAGTTATTTAATGTTGCTAGATGTTACAAGCTAATTTCAAAACCATTTTTAGGATTCTGTGTGTTTCAACCTTGTCATAAAGTTAAGCTCCTGAAATGGGAATTGACCCTTTTGATCAGCTTGTGACATGGGGTTTAGGGTTTATGAACTTGCCCTGGAGTTGATACCATTCTATAAGTGGGGGAGGGGAATTTAAGGTTATTGTCTGCATTGCTTCCACTCATGTAAAAATTGTGCCTGCTAATTTAGGTTTTTCTTTTGGGGGCAAAAGTAAGACAATATATTGATTAGGAGATCAAGAAGATCATAATTGATGATACATTTGAGGAGGGCAAGCTACAAAGACAAACTACTTGACAAAAAACACAGAAGCACCTCGATCGCCACTTGAGCCTACTAAAAGCCATTGGAACTATTGAAAACCTATAACTTGTGACAATGAAGCTTTTTAAACCTAGAGGCTTAAAACTTGACGCTGAATCACTGAGATTGAAAACTAAAGTACTTGACTTGAACCTGAGCAGTTGCGCTCACTGGGTGTCTTGCTTACCCCCCCTGCATGGGATCCAACTACGACTAACCATATCTGGAAGCTAGAAAATAGCGATCAAAGTTCTTGATTTGGAGATATTAGTTATATATACCTGCAGTTCATTCAATATCAACAAAGTCTCTTATCCAGAACAAGTTGAGCCTGTATAAAAGCATCATTCTGGAATGTACTTATTGGATAATTAATATTGAATAAGTAATATATTACCTCCTTTGTCCAAATAAAAAGAGACCACTTTGAAATCTAGAAGGAACATAAAGACAATCTGTTTGGACAACTTGCACTTGACTAAATATAAATGAAAAAACGACCCTTTGTCAAATCCTCAACTGAGGGGTAATTTAGGAACATATTTAAGTATCAGATAAGACTCTTGCTATGGTCAAGGAAAAATATGTGAAGTGAATTCTTTTTCTAGGATGGATTGAGTATTTTGTTCCGGTATTTATGAGAATGCTTCCTCTCATCACCATGGGATATACATCGTGATTGCATGTTCATGAAAGCTTGCTGTTATTCGTGAGTTGTGTCTGAAGTTTGTGCAATAGTCATTTTGATGTGTGTGTGTACAAGTACATTTCACATTTGGAATTGTGTGTTCCAGTTTTATACTACTTGAAGGAGGACAACAGAGGACTCGAGGCTCTACTATTCACTGGTTTAGTGTATCCCTACGCAGCTAGTGATTTGTAGTTATTCTAGGTGGGAATGCAACCTGAGAATTATGCTAACAAAGGGCATTTTTGGTGTATTGGAAAAAGGTATGTTGTAGGAGTGCATGGTATGGCTGTCAATCTTCTCCATTCTCCCATTTGAGCGGTTTATTAAGGCGCCAAATAGAATTTTCGTTTTGAGTTTCTTATATCATGTAGATGCAACTATCATTGCAGATTTGGCTGTTACAGTTAAGCATATAATACTGTTACATATTCAAAGAATACAATCCATCAAACGACCAATGTTTCATTAGGCTCAGAACAAAAGTGGTTCTCTGGATTCTTTATCATCACAATAAGGATAGCATTTGAGTATTAGAAGCCAGACAATGGTACCTTGATTGTGTCTTTTAGCTTATTGCCTCTTTGGGGTTAGAACCCTCATAATGCCAGTGGACAGCTGAATTTCTACTTTCCCACATGGTTGAGGAAATGGCATCATTACGTTCTGGTGGATTTGTGGATCCTGGATGGGAGCATGGTACTGCCCAAGATGAGAAAAAGAAGAAGGTGAGATGCAATTATTGTGGGAAAGTAGTTAGTGGTGGGATATACAGGTTRAAGCAACAYTTAGCTCGAGTGTCTGGGGAAGTGACGTATTGTGAAAAGGCTCCAGAAGAGGTTTGCCTAAAAATGAAAGAGAASTTGGAAGGATGTCGTATTGGTAAGAAACCGAAGCAAATTGAATATGATGAACAAGCATATCTGAATTTTCCTTCTAATGATGACGTTGAAGAGGAAGAGCACAATGCATACAGGAACAAAGGAAAGCAGCTGGTAGGGGACAAGGGTTTGGTTATAAATATGGCTCCTCTTCGGTCATTAGGATATGTTGACCCTGGGTGGGAACATGGAATTCCTCAGGATGAGAGGAAGAAAAAGGTTAAATGCAATTACTGTGATAAAATAGTTAGTGGTGGGATTAATCGCTTTAAGCAACACCTAGCTAGAATACCTGGCGAAGTCGCACCTTGTAAAAGTGCTCCTGAGGAASTCTATCYGAAAATAAAAGAGAATATGAAATGGCATCGTACTGGAAGGAGGCATAGGAGACCTGAAGCTAAGCAAACGTCAGCATTTTATATGCACTCAGAAAATGAAGATGAAGAGGATGAGCAAGAGGAAGATGATGTACATCTCATGAGCAGTGAAAAGCTATTACTTGGAGATAAARGATTTTCCAGTGATTCAAGAAGAGTAGTCAAAGGGATATCTCCTGGTATTGGAACAGAACCGTTGTCCAAGAAACCAAAATTTGAGACTGTTGTTCTGCAGTCGCCAAAGGGTCAGATATCAGCATCTTCCAAGCAGGGCACAATCGTGTCAACGAAAATATCACGAAAGGAGGTCATRTCTGCAATTTGCAAGTTCTTTTATCATGCTGGAGTTCCCACACATGCAGCACAATCACCCTACTTCCATAAGATGCTGGAGATGGTGGGTCAATATGGTCAAGACTTACCAGCTCCCCCAAGCCGTATGTTGTCAGGTCGGTTTCTTCATGACGAAATCTTAATCATCAAAACCTACCTGGCAGAATATAAAGCCTCTTGGGCAGTCACTGGTTGTTCTATATTGGCTGATAGTTGGAAAGATGCASAGAGTAGGACATTAATCAACATTTTGGTTTCCTGYCCTCGGGGTGTGCACTTTGTTTCTTCAGTTGATGCAACTGAATTTGTTGAAGATGCACCGGCTTTATTCAAATTTCTTGATAAAGTTWTGGATGAGATGGGCGAGGAAAATGTTGTGCAGGTAGTTRTAGTAAACTATGATTATTTCTGATCCAGTTCTCACATGTGTTCTTAGTTGATTTCCTTTCCTCGTTGATTTGCTAATCTTTCTAGGTTATCACGGAAAACACACCCAGTTATCAAGCGGCTGGAAAGATGCTTGAGGAAAAACGACAAAATTTATTTTGGACTCCTTGTGCTGCTTCTTGTATTGAACAAATGCTCGAAGATTTTGTAAAAATAAAATGGGTTGCAGAATGTATAGAGAAAGGACAAAAAATTACAAAGCTTGTATACAACCAAATCTGGTTATCAGATTTATTGAAAAGAGAATATACAGGGGGACAGGAGCTGCTGAGAGCATCTTTTACCCGTCATGCTTCAAGTTTTCTAACGTTGCAAAGCTTGATGGACCACAGGGTTGCTCTCAAACGATTGTTTCAGTCCACTAAATGGCTGTCATCTCGAGTTTMWAAAYGTGAGGAGGGTGAAGAGGTGGAAAAAATTGTAATGAATGCTACATTTTGGAAGAAGGTGCAATAYATTAGGAGATCAGTGGACCCTATTCTGGAAGTGCTTCAAAAGATCAACAGTGATGAGAGCCTCTCAATGCCATCTATATACAATGACATGTACAGGGCAAAACTTGCCATAAAAACCAACCATGGTGATGATGCCCGCAAATATGGCAACTTCTGGAGTGTAATAGACAATCATTGGAATTCATCTCTCAATCATCCTTTGTATCTTGCTGCTTACTTTCTGAAYCCATCGTACAGATATCGACCTGATTTTGTTCCAGTAAGATATACAAGTTCCGATTAGCTTTGCCTTCTCTCTTATTACCAAAGTTGTTCTTATCAATGGCTGTTTTTCTTATGTACTTCATTTAGCATCCAGAAGTTGTCCGTGGACTAAATTCATGCATTGTTAGGTTTGAGCCAAACAATGCACGAAGGGTGTCAGCATCAAAGCAGGTACAGTCTCCATCGTGCATTTACGTGTGTGTGTTCAATGGCAATGAACGTTCATAGACATCAATTTGCAATATATGATTTTGTTATTACAGATATCAGATTTTGGGTCTGCAAAAGCTGATTTCGGAACTGATTTGGCTATTAGTACGCGAACAGAACTTAATCCAGGTAGTAGAGCTGTGATGATTTGATAATTACACACTCAGCTGTGATGCATTATTAGTTTAAATATATGTGTATATATCCAGTACTAATGAATACCTTTTTGTTTTAGCCGCTTGGTGGCAACAACATGGCATAAACTGCTTGGAGCTGCAACAGATTGMTGTACGCATATTGAGTCAAACATGCTCGTCTTTTGGCTGTGAGCATAATTGGAGCATATATGATCAGTTTCACAACCAGAGGCACAACCGCCTGGGACAGAAACAATTGAATGACTTTACCTATGTTCACTACAACTTACGACTCAGGGAACGCCAAATAAGGAAGATGCCATATGGTTCAGCTTCGCTTGATAGCATTCTGAAAGAGAATGTATTGCATGACTGGATTGTAAAGCCAGAAAAACAAGCATATCAAGAAGACGAGGTAACTTGACATTTCTGTTTGGGCTTTCAACTCTTGTCTTTCTTCTGGATCCGTATTTTTGATCTGTGATTTTGGGCATTCTCATCCTTTCATTCTTGATATTTTCAGGAGGTTTGTAGTGAAATGGAACAAGGCGATGCATATGAGAATGGGTTGCTGGAATATGAAGAAGGAAATGGAGAGAGTAGGAAGGGATCATTGCAGCTGATGACACTAACAGACATAGAGCCATTAGATGCTCATCCGCTTAACAATATTGGGGGTGATGATGAAGATGAAGATGATGAAGGTGATGATGATGACCTCAATTTCCTGGGTGATGGTTTCAGTGATTCATAGATATCTATATAAAAGAGTTATAGGATGAGTAAATGGCTGCCTTGTTTATCAGTAGTAATGCAAAATGACGATGTATTATTGTTTGCTTGGTTGTATTATTTAATATTTTGTACATTAGGTTCTTTGATCACCATTGAATTTGAAGGTAAAAACATCCCGATAAGCCAATAACTAGGGACTAAAACCCTATCAGTAACAGTTACAATGGATTGGATTGAAGTATTAAGGATAAAATCTAAAATGTAAGAAAAATATAACATACTTTGATTCGGCCAAATTGGATCCAGCTTGGGACGGGTTACGGCCTAAGAGTTTGAGACCTGCTAATACATATTATATCAAAGTTTTTATAAATTATATACACATTTTAATTTTATTTGTAACTAGTGTTTGACATTGCATGATGACGATAAATTTTTTAAAAATTTATTGAAATTAACTAAATGAGTCGATGATCACATTTATATATTAAACTAATAATATCAACATTACCTTTGATATATGAATCTAATTTATCATTATTGGTTGTTCTTTTAATATTATATATATATATATATATATATATATCTATATCTATACTACATATATAAGCATTTAAGACAAAGTCTTAAATACAACTCTTTAAACACAAGTTACAATCATTTTATGCAAGATTTTCAAAAAACTCTTAAGTACAACTCTTTAAACATATGGTACAAGCTTTTTATGCATTAAGTTTATTAGCCATGGTCAGACTTGCTTTTTCTCTTCTCCTCTATTCTTCTTCCCTTTCCAGCTTTCCTTTCCTCTGGTCATGAATCCTGCTATACGCCAAAACAAAATTGGTAAAGTCAGCCTTTTGCTTTCTTCAATTGCTCCAACCTTTGCACATTCTAGCCCTAATCTCAGCCGTCTCGCTTCCTTTGAACACGAATAACACCGATACCGCATTTGTCTTCGTCCCTCTCTCTCCCGTGCTCTCCTCGCTCTCCTCCGTCGTCCCTGCTCTCTCATCCGCCTTACCAGCATCGTCATCTTCTTTCATCACACAACAGGTGAATCATCGCCGTCTTCTTTCTCATGATTTTTGATGTGTATTGAAATTGTTTCCATTGAGTTATTTTTCTGTAGTAGATCTGTTGGAATGCTTGTGCTAGGGAAGGTCTCGTAAATATATAACATGGTGAGTTTATGAAATTAAGAAAAGTTTCGAGCAATTGACAAAATGAAATAGGCAATATTCTCAAGCATCTTGCTACATATTTTATTTTCAGTTGTTCAACTGATTCGAGGTACTTCAATGGAGATTAAAAAGGATAATATCTTTTTTTTTCTTAGCCGTGGTATCAAACATCTTTGACCTAGATACCACAGCTTTTCCTTTTGGTGGTGGGGGCACGATTGTAGTATTATATATGATGTTTGGATATTCACTTGTGATTTTGTAGGATTGATGCTCTGCAAGAACTATGGAGGTTTTGGATATTCAAAACACTTGTGATTCCCACCTGATATTCTTTTCTTATTATATGATTGACATGCATTCCAACTAACAACTATCCAACCAATTTAAGTCGTGGACTATCACAGARTGCACTCTGGTTATATCACTCATTCAAAACTACATTTTCCCTAATCTTCTTATGATAAAGCATTGAATGTGTTTGTGGTGCCATACTTGCATGTTATGAACATGAGGATTTCRTGGTTTCCCCTAATATTTCTATCATTGCAGAAAAGCAGGAAAAAAAGGTCTCGAGCTTTTCAATACCGCAATAGCAAAAGTTGGATGCACGAGAAAGGAGGTTTTTTTAATCACCTCTTCAAAGATATCGCTTTTTGAATGTAACTTTAAATCTTAACAGTTTCATTGCAGGTTGTTATTGGAATGGATGTGTTGCATCTGAATTCTATGATAACAAAGATAWAACATGTTGTTTGAATTTCAAGGAAGAGGTATAAGTCAACTCAAAGAAACAAGTTAATTCTATTTTCGTGTTGACAGAAACAAAGAAGGAAATTAAATACAATGAACTTTATATGTTGCAGAACGATGATGTGTCACAGAAGATATCAGACRACAGTTTAAAGAATGTTTACTTACTGTCCTTTTATTACCATTCTTTAGTGACTACCCAGTTATATCCATATAGGATCCTTTCGATCAGGATGATTGGGAACATTATGCAAAGATGACAACAGAAATTGGTGAGCAGCTGCAAGATGCAAGTTATGGTTATGGTTATGATCTCTTTGTCACAAATCCTAAGGTATAATAAAGCTTTCTCTAACCTCGAAGTTGTAGAGAGTAAATACCGATTCTTAGTTTCTCATTTTATCTGATTCAGTGTGTTGACAAAGCAATCAAGGAGAAGACTTGCAATGCCCTTCTTATGAGGGTATGTTTACTTACTGTCCTTTTATTACCATGAGGAAATTCATAGGTATTTGTTTAATTCATAGTTTTAAATTTGTTGTGCATATTTGCTAGAATAACTTGGGCAAGGAGATATAAATTACAAGCCTAAAATCGATATGTGTGATTATCACCCTTGGGTTTGTATCATGATATCACACTAATCGTTAGATCTTTGCACCCTTAAATCATGCCCCATGCACTAAATGAAATATGGTGCCAATTGATCCATAAGTTAGCCAGTTAGGACATTGTGTTAGCATCAACCTTTTATTTCAATGGTGAGATGTAATAACTAATGTAGTTTTTTCCCTCCGAATATATCCATGTTGCAATTTCTTAAGGCCAAATAAGATGAATAATAAAGGAATACAAAAAGGCACCTTTAYTCAKATTCAAGTAAATGAGAACCATCTAATCTTGTTTTTTGGAGAGCTCAACAAAGTACTTTGCTCTCCGATTCAAAATCATGTTATTCATGCTTTATAATGGTAATGTAAAGAAGATATTATACATGATCTATTGATTTAAATCTACCTATAAGACTTGGGCTTGATTAATGTTCCATTTACTRTTATGATTGGATTTTGATGTTTGAATCAATGTAGAACCCCTCTGTTTCYAACAGTAATTCAGTAAACACCCATGGGGCCAGTGGCTGTGAGTCATATGAACTGGTTCATTATACAAGATAATTTTTGAAACATTTTTAAAAAGAAAGCTCTTAAATCTCAGGGCTATGTGTCTTGTTTATCCTCATATATTGTTTCTTGCAGGTGGTTCAATTGTTGGAAACTCCTTATGTGAATCTCATAAATTATGCATCATAGGTATTGCATCTTTTTCTGATTTCATTTCTGTTCATCGTATCCCGATTATCTAGATCCTCCATCGTTWACAGAGGTCAGTTTGTTCTTCAGTTGTTTTATGCAGTTTTGAGAAATGATTTCATTTGATGTGGCCATCACTAAATGTAAACTCGATTGAAACTAAGAAATTAGAAGAAAYAGTAACAGTTTGTTGCTATTAATTTTTTATATGGAAATATTATAGATGTTTCTGATTTTCTTATTTGGGTTGGTGGTTACAAGAACAAATTGAATAACATTGGGGTGTGTTATGTAACAGGCCAAATTTGAGCTGAAGAGATTTGCAAGCTTCATGAGGTTCTAACAAGTTTGCAAGCTTCATGAGGTTCTAACAAGTTCTGGGATGTTTATCTACAAGTCCAAAGTACTATTTTAGGGAGCATGTAAATTTTCTTAAGGTAAGATCAAGACTTTCGTGGCTGCGGTCCATCATCTCTTTTCCACCTTCGACGTCAATTTCGTCTTAGAAGCCGCCCGAATCTGCAGAAACTCAAAACCTAACAATTGTGGGGTTGTTTGTTAGATTTCTATATCATCTTGAATAACTTAAATCCGAGCTCGGATGAGTTAGATATGCTTGAAACACTGTAGTCTCGTAAAGTTGTCAAAAATTCCTCTTATTGTCCCTTTTTCGCTCCAAATTGTTCCGAACCTATCGACATATAAAAACACATCAATTTGTTCAGTTTTACCGTTTTAGTATGTTAAAGAGGGATGTTTGATGTGAAAATAAGATAGCATTTAGCAACGAATCACCAGCTATTGGTATGTGTAAAACAGTACTTTAGTCATCCCATGAAAATTGCTAGGCTTGTATGGACCCAAAGTGGAGCAAGTAGCCGACCCAATGAGTTTATTTGTTTTAAAAAATTATACAACGGTCGATCTCGACAGCAACCTTCCACATCTATTTTCTTTGACCGAAGGTCTTCCTTATCGGATGTTGGGCAAGACTCTAATCTGRTTAATTGTTTTGACCCTTGTATAAAAGATGTGGCAGATAAAAGTGATAGCATGCAAAAAGTTAGCTTTGAAAATGATGGATGTCTTGGGTTTGGTAAACCGTACATAGAAACTGCTAAAAGTAAAAAAACCATCTCCCATGCATACTCCTCCCCCTTTAATTTCTAATTCCTTAAAAACTACTCCATTCATGTGGGTCTGATTTGATTTGGGCTCTATTGATGATGTGCTTTAGCCATTTTATGATCCGGTCCGAA